GCGCGAAACAGCTGTTGATGCGGTGCGCGCGGGTTTCGCGTTCCTACCAACTGCCGTGTGCCGTGTTCCGCCGTCGCGTCAAGTGGGGAAGGGCGAAGACCACCTGGCCCAAACCTGAGCGCTTCGTTCTGTTTCTATGGAGCGCACAATGTTGCACGATCCCTCGAATCGATCGGCGCGCCGTGAACAAAAGCTCTCGGGTACGTGCTGCGTGGCTACGTAGGAAACATATGTTCGCCATCGCGACCAAGAAAATCCGTCCCGCGTTTGCACCGCGTTTTAATCCGCCGCCCGCACCGGTGTGCAATTCGCTGTCGTCGTTGTTTTCGATTGCTGTTGTCGTTGATCGAAATCTATAATGAGCTGAATAACAGTCGTACGCTTTCCGAGAAATTGTGTTTACATTACGGTATATAAGGCTTGTCTCAGAATTGTCGGCATGGCTTTTATTTATGCGAGAACGAGGCGTTTGAATGAATTGTAATAATTAGAAGAAATACAAAATTCTCAACTTTTTTCGGTCATTCTAATTAATTGATATTTCAATGGAATTTTTATAGTTCAATTATCAATTTATATTCATATTTGTAATATGAAATGTGAGAAAATATATCTGTAAACTATAGGTTATTGTTAACAAATTAGTTTATAGATTAGCTTATGTTAGTGTATAAACATAGTACATTGATGAAATACGAAAAATAATGGCAGTTTTGAGACAATCTATATAACACATATAGGGGGAGAGAGAGAGAGAGGTAGTGCGAGAAAATAGAATCGAAAAGTCGGCCTCGAGTTAAAAATTTTCAGGTATGATTAAAAAAAAGGTTTCAGCATAAAAATAATTTTCCAAAAGTGCAAAGAAACGAGACTTAAATACTTGTTTATATTTTTATTATATCAATTTTTAAATTTCTAGTAAGAAATTTAAAAATTGATATAATAAAAATACATGTTGTAAGAAATTAATTGCAAAGCTTTATAAACATTATAAAAAATTCAATTCCTAAACAAATTATTGCGTCATTTAATTTTTTATATGATTTATAAATATTTTATGCATATACATATATATACACATAACGTATCTATAAAATTATATAGCTCAATTATAATAGTCAATTTAGCATATTAAATTCAAATGTATAAACGCGTTATTAATAATAATGAAAGAACATAAAGATAATAATAGCAATAAAATAATAATAATAATTTTATACAATGAAGAAATATAATCTTTACTGAATTTATAAAGTTTTTTTATTATTTGAAATTAATTTATTTTGAAATTTATTTTTTTTCTATTTAAAATTAATTTATTAATTTCATGAAAAAATTTTGAGAAAGAAGTAATTTTCTTTTAAAATTTTTTAAAAGAGAATTATACGTGTTTTATTATAATTTTAGCATAAACATTGTTTGCGGTTTTTTTAATTAACAATTAATATTGTAGAAAAAAGCATTAAAGCTCACTAATAAGTTTAAAAGCAAGCATTTGATGACACTATAAATACTAAAAAATTTATAATTAAATTTTTTAAAAATGGATATGTGTATATATATATGTATAGTTGAACTATAAATATGGATTGGAGAGATGCTACAATAATGATTTCCTATCGACTGAAAATTCAAGATTGATACGTTTGGCAGTTGAAAAACGGATTTCACTTATCTGATATTGATATATACTAACGTATATACAGATACTAAACTCCAATAAAAATATTTGATCGTATTTACTCAATTTTTTTTGTTCGCGAATGTATTTAAAGATACCTCTCGAATCTAAAGCGGATCGTGTGTCACACATTTTTGTTCATGAATATCGTTAAACGTCGTCATAAAGTTGCTTCATGGAAGGTACTTGAAAAGGAGAAGGAAGAAAATAACGCGGGAAAATAGGGCAGGCGAGGGAAATGATATGCTTTTCGACGATCGACATGATTTTCCGCATGTGACTTGAGCAATATTAAATATTCAATCAAAGGGTTACTTGCGTACCACTTGTGAATCCGTTTGCTCTACTTTTGTCGGCTGCGTCGCAATATTAACTTTAGATTATCTTTAATGATACGTATTGATTATCGCAACGAGTTATAAAATTATTAGACGCAATACAAAAGATTCGAGGGAGAAAATTTTATTAATTATTACATATTATGTGGACAGAACACAGTTTTTAAAGATTTATTATTAAAATTTATTATTAAAATTTATTTACGTAAAGCTTGATTTCTATAAAAAAAAGGAAAAATTTCTATAAAAAAAAGGAAAATTTAGAAATAAAATTTTGCTTTATAAAAAATTATGCTTCATAAAAAATTTTGCTTCATAAAAAATTGTTTCTTTGCTGGATATTGTTTAACAATTGCTATAACATCCATGTGTTAAACAATTGTTAAATCACATCGAATAATAACACTTTTAATTAAAGTGTGAAGCTCGAACATTCTTCTTTCAAATTTCTTGGCATTATCTTGATTCGACTTATTTTTCATTCATTTGGTCCGATTGATGACCTGGAAATTAATAATTGTCTCTCTCTCTCTCTCTTAATCTGTTTTTCCATTAATTCCTGTGCGTGCGCCAAATATGTATACATTAATGAGATACTTATATATTTAAGATAAGGACGTGCTATCGTGATTACCCGCTTTAAAGTGAGCTTTTCCTTGCGTGTAGGGGGTCGATCGTGACCATTCATGCCACTGCGGGGAGTGTCGCCACGACTTTTTTGCCATTTCTTGCCGTCATCTCTGTGGTACATGGTCGAAGATAGATTGATCGATCGAGCAACTAAAACTCTCGCGATCGTAAAGCCAGCTTCAAACGAATTTAAGCTTTTCGACATCTTCTAAAATTCTAATTTTTAGGTTTTAATTTCTAAATATCTGAATAAAAATAATTTTAGTACGACCGAGCTTAAAATTCAGTATAATTTCAGTACAATTTTGGCGACTTAAATTCTGAACGTATCCGCGTATACATATGTTATTTACATTTTTCTTTTATAGATATTTATTTAAAAATAGAAAATTATATATAACATTATTTGTATATAAAATCTTAGAAGCGATACTTGAAATTATCACAAAATTGCACATAATTAGATGGCGGCTTGACATGAAATGCTAGAGTTACAAATTTAAAATATGTAGTTCAAAATAAGCTTTTATGTTAATAAAATTAACATATCTTAATTTCGAGTGTAATTCTTATTTATGTTAATTTTATTAACATAAATAATTTAAAATACGCAAGATATTTAAAAAAATTTTCAAGAATTTTTAATATATACACAGTAAAAAATTTTGTGTTAAATTTAACATATTTCACATGTCCCAATTTATCCACTCTAATTTTAATGTTAATTTAACAGAAGGCAAGTATGTAAATAAATAACACAAGTAATATGTTTAAAAATTAACACAAAAGTGTAACACTTAAACTTCATCTGGAAATAAAGTTTATGTTAAATTAACATATTTATAATGTTAAATTTAATTAAAAGAAAATGTTATTTTTACATTTTTATAATAAATAACAGAAGAGATATGTCGATTTAACATATGGAAACTGTTATAGAGAGAAAAATTGAACACAACTTATGTGTTCATTTTAACATATAATATATTTCATCAAAAATTCGTGCATTTACATATTAATTGTGTTGTTTTAACTCTTAGAAACGAAATATTAACTCAACGCAGAAATGTCAAAATAACGCAGATAATATGTTACATTAACATAAGAGTATGTTAAAAATTTAACACAAATATTTTTACACGAGAAAATTTTAACGGAAATACAAAATGTTTTTTACCGTGTAGGTTTGCGACGAGTAGCTTTGTAAAATTATATTAAAAAAGAAATGGATATTATAAGTTGGCAAAATTATTCAGAGCTTTACGGCCGTCATCGACAATATGTCGTGAAACGTGTTACCGCGGATCGGATCGATGTACGCGAAAAGCTGACCCGATCCGCTATTTAAATCCGCGTATCCCAGATTTTACTATACGAGATGAATTTTATTTTGAGACACCTTAATGGAACGAATGCATGTACAGTCGTACATTCAATCGTGCTCATCGTAAAAAGAGTATAATCGGGATAATAATAAGCCGAGATGAGAGAGAAGAGCCGATGAATTATTGAGATATCGAGAGTACGATCGCGCGAGGACGTTGTGAATCGCAATCGAACCGTCTGAGAACCGGCATCTGGAGGACGATTGGTCCGAAGGTTGGATGTTGCGCCGCCGGCTTGCAACAATCTGTGCTAATGTAACGGTTGCTAGTTTGCTACTGAAACCGAAATAAACTTTGTTGCATCAGCGAATTAGTTGCCGCTTTCGCAACGATTTCGGTAGGATTTTCGACAATAATATCCGTAACTTCAGCGCTTCTCGGATACAGATCGTTTTGCTACTTTGTAGAAATTATTCATTCATGATGGGGCACCGGCTCGTCACATGGTTTATCGAGAGTCTTACGACGAGATATTCAGATTTTTTAAATTTCATTTTAAGAATTGCAAACTTCAATTTTTATACATTATATTATTGCATTATATATATATATATATATATATATATATAATGCAATAATATAATGTATAAAATTGAAGTTTGCAATTCTTGTAATACATATTTAATATATTTATATAAAAAAAAATATATATATATATACATACATTATTTAATATATATTATTAATAAAAATTATTTATACATTTAGTTAATATATATGTAAAATTTTTTTTAATGTAAATATATATATATTTATATAAATATAATTTTATATTTTGGATTTATTAGAAAAATTTTTATTATATAAAATTAAGCTTTTTCAATACATATATGTGATTATGGAATTGCACAGTATACACAATATTTTCGATGCAATATCCGCAACGATAGCACGAAATTTCGCCGAATATAAATCGTCTATAGTACAATGTCAACATATTAATATTTTTTTATAATTTCATTTCAGGTGTTATCGCATTATCCCGCCGCCGATTTGCAGCATGAAGGCTGACAGCGACGCGAAGTGAATAGGCGGTCCACTCCTCACTTCCCCCTTTCGAAATACGCACCTGCTAACAAACAGAAAAACGAAGGCTGAACCCTCTGACTGTATACATATATATTTAGGAAAAGGAAAAGAAAAAAAGACCGCAACGGATCACCGCCAAACGTTAGTAAAAGTTTAGTCAAAGTGTGAGAGCGAGCGAACGAGATAAAAAAAAATATATATATACATACATAATACACATATATGTATATATATTATAGAAAGAGAAAACACGAGAGAGAGAACGGGAGAAACACAAGATACATATAAAAATAAATATATGTATATACATATATATATATATATAAATATAAGAGAAGACGAGTCTCTCGTGAGTGTGCGTGTAAATAAGAGCTATTTTTCGTATGAGAGCGAGAAAAACGCGCCCTAGCCGACGAGAAGCGGGAAGCGAAACGTTCAAGAGTAGTTCCCTCGAACGAGGGGAAGATTCAAGGTGCTTCTCCTGAAGAAGAGGGCCGAATCGTCGGGTGAAAGACAGCAAGACGACGAAGACGACGACGAAAGAGAGCGAAAGGATACGTCACGTCACAGTTGTTTGGACGTTGTTTCGATGCTCCCCAATCTGGATCGCCAGTGTTTCTCCCTCCTACAGAGGAGTAGTCTCTCTCACGGGGGCTGACCGGGCCGATATATTGGCGTAGGAATCGTCGAGAAAGAGGCGAACGCGAATAATCGCGGATAAAGCCAAGAACCGAGAAAGGGGAGAGGAAGGGGAGAGGAAAAAAGGAAGAGGAAATATAGAGAGCAGTTGCGTGTGCGGCATCGAGAGAGGACCGGCTCCATGTTGTGAGCGTCTGAGGACTGCCGAGGGCAGCAGCGAAAGGGCGGAGTAGGGTGCCACCGCCGTTATGGAGTACGGTGGCGGGGGCGGTGGGGCACGCGGAGGTGTCCAGCCACCCTCCGCGGGGGCGAGGGGCATCGCCGGAACTGACACTACCGACGCTGCGTGGCACAAACACGAACAAATGATGCTCATGGAGTCCAGGCACAAGCAACAATGTAAGTAAACGCATCTCCGAGATTCATTTCTCCCCTCTTTCCCTTCGTAGCCTCCCCTTGGTTTTGATGAGCGCACGTGCGCGCTCGGGAAACGGATTATCGGTTTAAGAGCGAGGGGGCGGAGAGAAGAAAAGGGGATAAATTTCGCAGTCTGTACATTGATCGCGAGTTCTCGATCCGGAACGCGCGATGTCGGAAAGATTTCGAGTCGAGCTGGGAAGAAAATCTTGATACCAAAAGCAATATAATTTTTCAAATCTTTGTAAAATTAATTTTACAGCACAAACGTAATTTCGGATTAGTCCGTTTAACAAATAAATCATTATAAAATTTAAAATTTACCTTTTATATTTGGTAGTATCGAAACAATAAAAGCAAAATAATTAACACCGAGGTATAAATGCATTGAAATGAAAATCCAGGTAAATAACAGCTTTTGTCGATCTGTTACGAAGGGCTTTAAATTGTTATAAATTTAAAAAATTTATAGCACATTTAGATTTTTGTTGTAAGCCCATTTCAAAGCACGTTAATTGTCGAAATAGTTAATATTCGCGGCTTTGATTTTTTTTTTATATGAGAATCACCAATATATTTCGCGGGATGTCTAAATTAAAAATAGAATATTGTTGAATATTGCGTATAAAAGTTACCATTCACTTAATCAGAAATGAATCATAATGAAAGAGAAAAAACGCGTATCTCCGCTACTTTTTCGATCCCTGATCTTTGACACGCTTATATGCACGCGCTATGAAACATCGACAGGCTAGTGTTATGAAGGAAAAATATGAGCGGTGTAATTGTAAGTTACGGCACGCCGGCTTTTGACAATTGACATTTACGCTCGGCTGTCACATTTTTTCGTCACTTTTCACATCTTCGAAAATAACACTCTGCGACAGACCTTTAATATATTGCCATTTTTCTTACTCGCAAAATACTGTTCTTATAAATATTAGTCTACAAAATTAACTCTAATGCTATTAAATTTTTGTCATAGAAAGGATTTTTCGTACGAATCTCTTGGAAAAATATTAGACATCTAAGAAATGGATGAAAAAATCGCGGCGGGATTATTCGTTCGATTTTATCGAGCCGTCTATTTTCTCTTTTAGCGTTTACATCGCGCAAAGCAAAGTGAAAAGAGATCGACGTTATGATACATGCATGCACGAGATCTACAACGCTAGTAGATGATGGCGGCGATAATGCAGGTGCATCGCGACGTGCGATAACCGCGGGCTTTAGGACGGCCTGAATTAGCAGGTGCAATATATATTAGCCAAACGGGCTTTCATTATTCGCTGTTAGATGAAAGGGGGGAAAAAAGGCGCGGCGCCGATTTCATCCTCCCTCCCTCGCCCCCTTTCCTCTCACCTTTCCTCTCGTCCGATAATGAATCGCGTTTAACGAGCCGGCGACGAAGGAAGGAAACTGCACGATGCTGCGGATGATGTATCCGTGTTTATCACGACAGTGTTATTTTTTATTCGATCAGTGATGCTAACCGATAATATTGCTGCTGACAATAATGTTGTTTCTTCTCGCGTTCCTCGCGATTACGGGATATTAATTGTGACAATTAATCGGAAATTTAGATATCGTAAGATATCGTGGAAAAACGTTATCATTTTTCAACTTAAATCGTTAATTATATGCACAAAGCGCCAGATCTTTCGCATTTTCTTTTTAATTTTATTTATATGGTTGTTGTTATTTTTTTAATTTTATTGAAGAATTAAAAAATTAATAACTCTTGGACTTAAAAGTGATTAAAATTGAAGAATATTCGAAAGATTAATTTCTTTTGTTTCGTAAATAGATAAAAATTTTTCCTTTATTTAATTTTGAACGAACTTTGCTTTAATAGAATTTTACTTTGTGGTATAAATCTAAGATCATGCTAAAATTTATAAATTATATAATAGGTATAGGATATTTTAATTTAAAATAAAATATGCGGGAATATTATTGTGATTTAAGAACACAATAAATTTTGATTAATTAGACAAGACGAAATAAGAGATTCTGCAAGATTGCATTTTATTCAAGTCAAAGTTGGCGCATTTTTAAAATATATCAACAATAAGTTAAAATTAGACTTTGAATATGACATAACGATTACATTTTATATAAATATTTTGATTTATTTTATCAATTTTTTTTAGAAATAATCTTCTAGATTTTTGATTAGATATCTCAAAGAAGTTATATGTATATTAATCGTTGAAGAATCTCTTTTAAAATCTAGAGAGAGGAACATGAAATCACGTTTTCGAAAACAATATATAATGTGTTATATTCAATCATTTTCATAATAATTTTTATACAAATATATGAAATGAAATATATATATAAGTATATATCTTAATCGATTATATTGATCTTACATTCGCGAGAATCACCGTCCACGTAAGCATCTCTATAATCGAGAGGAAACAAATAACTTTTTAATTCGACACAAAATTTACATAAGATTATTGACAATGACATTGTAATCGATCGTTCATTATCTCTCATAATTAAGGCATAGTGCGAACGAGAGAAAAGTTGAAGAGCCGCCGATATGCGGTGTTGCGACGTGTGACCTGACGTTCTTTCGACCTCAATGTTAAAAGCAGTGTTTGCGATCCGATGACTTGGGAAATTGTTAATTATCGTGATAATAAGTTGGGCTGCCCCCTTCTTTTCTCTACCTCTCTCGCCTTTTCCCTCGCGCGTGTGCGATTCCCATCCATAACTAAGATGAGTAAATACGCAGAAGAGAATTTCGATTTTTTGTAATAGTATGATTTTTTTGCGAAAAATTTTTGCGCATAAATTCGATGCATTCAGGCGAATCCGAAAATAATGGCTGAACGACAAAATCACAAATGGAACGGCTAATTTACCGTTAAATTAACAGAAGATTAATAATGATTAGTGTAGAATATTTGGATTTTCGGGAATATATTTTTTTTTCGAATTGTCCAGAGATTTCAAATTTTTTTACGCGGCCGCGTTTCTTATTTATAATATGCAATTATAAATTTTCTCGTACATGTATCATCATATCTTTTTATTTTCTTATTCACAATATTAAAACGAACAAAGATCCAAATTTGACATATGTAATCCTGTCCGAAGAGAAGTGAATATTATTTATATTATTAATTAAATATCACTCGCTATTAAATTTTACTCTTTTATAATTTATATATTATTGCTAAAGAAAATTAACAATTTCAAAACACAAATAGAATAAATCTTGAAGCTATTAGAATATACGTTATTTTGATCTATCTGAATTTTTTCAAAAATTTTTTTTTTGACAAAAAGATATATCGGGTCACTTTTATGCAACAGATTTTATAGATCATTGTCTCGACATTTAAAGCTACAAGTTTCTCGGTAACATTATTCATACAATATTATTTTTTATAGTCTTAAATTATTTTTGTCGTTATAGTCAGATCTATGCTTTGTGAATCGCGATCTTGTGGATCATAGGAACGGGATTTGAAATTCTCCACGTGTGGATTTTACTCTGCTGAAAATCGCGGGCTTTCGTATAACTACTAGCTATTGATCGTCGCTCCAAAATACTCTTTCGTCGTGAATCATTGAACGCTGCTGATCGACGTGTCGCCATCTCTCTCTTTCCTCTCTCTCTCTTTTTCGCCATTTGAATGCGTGCGAGGATGAACGTGAAGCGTGAAAAAAGACGATAGTAGAGAAAAAAAAAGGGAAAAAGAGACGAGAAGACGAGAAGGAAGCAAAGAGTAGTAGGCCACGCGGAGAGAAGACGCGAAGCGGGGGAGGGATGGAAGGGGATATGACGTATATTTTTAAACAGAGGCAAACACCCGACCTCCTTAGGCGCAACTTGTCTTATGACGAGAATAGTGGTTTTACCACTCGGCAAAAGACAATAATTTTTCGTTTCAATTTTGGAATAATGCATGGATTCTTTTTCGAGTCTTTCTTTTATTTTTTTTTTTTTTAATAAAAATTTGGAATCGATATAATTTAGATGAACTAAAATGCTATTCCATAGTATCAAAATTAAAAAAATCTCTTTGAAATTATAGTTCTTTGATGCTCTCGATATTATTATAACAATTTGATTGCTTAAATACTCGTGTGAAGCTAACGAATGATAAAGCTTAAATGAGAAAAGGACTTGATACACGTCAAGTTTTCCCGACTTTCTCGCCACGATCGGCGGTGCAAATAGCGATGCAAATTTCGAGCGTCGCGACGACACGGCCGGTTTTTGGACCGATGCCTGATCAACGACTCTCAGACAATCCGAAAACTTCGACCGGCTGGCTATCGAATGACGTATATATGTATTTTCGACTCAGCATCTTCCCTCCCTGCTCCTTTCTTGTGCATCCTACTGACCATTTTGACCGTTCTGGACCGATATCGACAGACGTTGACCTCTTGAGAAGAAAAAAAAAAGAGAAAGGAACGAGAATGATAAGAGAAAGAAAGAGATTTTATACAGCAGTTTTTTCATTTTAAAATGACATTTGATCACGTTTAAATTTAAAATTTATGTTATCTATGTGTATTATTCCATTTAATTAATCGCGTTCATAATATAAATGTGAAGGGAGGAAATAAAATTTATTAGAATTATATGAGATTTTATTTTTTGAATGTTGAAGAGAATTTAAAGACTAAGTCTGGAATCAATGGAATCGTTGCAAATGTGATATTTGATTTAAAACTCGATAAATGCGAAAAAATAAACTTTAAATTTATACATGTTTTAGTGAGAACTAAATTTTGTGTGATTTTTTTAAATATGCACTACAGAGTAATTAAATTTTATTTTATTTTTTTTTCATGTATTTTTCCGTAAGCAACCATTAAAAAGGTAAATAACGCGAGGTAAGAGAAGGTAATAAATGTATCGTAGAAGAGAATGAGATCGTCGATGTGAAAGATGTAATTCTTGATATATAAAGTACTATTGCGAGGGGAAAAAAATACCGATGTCATTTTAT